GGGCAACTTTCTGTTTTCAGTTATCTTTCCATATCCATAAAGAATATTTTGTAGGGTCTCCAGGTCCTAAACTCTCTCTGGCAGGGGTCGGAAGGGGGCTCTCCGGGAGTAGGGGGGTGACGTCGCCATGTGCGACATCCCAGGCTGGCAACCATAACATCTTGTCTTTGGAGATGTAGGGAAGCAATGTGGCAAAACGTAAGTACCCAATAGGTCGGAATGGGTTTAATACCTCCGCTGGAGGTTCTCATTGCCGTATTGAGTTGGACATCAAGTTTGTGGACATGAGGGCTTTTGAGCCACACGGAAGCAATGTATCCCACAGAACTATACACCAACCCCAAAAATGAGCATCTAAGTGTTGTAGCAGACACACCCCAAGTTCTACCATATAATTTTGGGAGAATGTTGTTTCATGTGCGTATTTTCACTGCTACATTGGCAAGATGGTGTCTATAGCCTGACGTTGTGTCCAGGAAAATGCCAAGGCACCTAGGTGAATGGTTGTGTGTAAGGGGGCAATTCTAGCTCACCTCCTTGTGGTGTACCCTGGAGAACGCAAAAGAGCTGGAACTTCTGACTGCCGGACAATCATAGTATCTTCTGGCTTTACGACACAAATGGAAACAGTCAAACAGTGGTGGCCGCCGCCACCAAGGCAACAACTTTAAAAACCTACACAGTCAATCAAATCTCCAATGTCCAATCAGAAGCTCTTAATGGGCAAAAGCCCCACCTGGCTTCACCTAGTTCCTTCATGCATTTGGCAGGCTCCAGAAAAGGCACTATATTGGGGACCTCTGATACTATTAGAAGAACAGTACTACCATAAAAGGGAAGCTGCGGTGGCTCAGTGGTTAAGACCCTGAACTGCAGATTGGAAGGTCGGTAGTTCGGCAGTTCGAGACCCGAGTGCCGCATGACGGAGTGAGCTCCCGTCTCTGGTTCCGGCTCCTGCCAACCTAGCAGTTTGAAAGCAAGAAATTGCAAGTAGATAAATAGGTACCACTTCAGTGGGAAGGTAACAGTGTTCCGTGCACCTCAGTGTTTAGTCATGCCAGCCACATGACCACAGAAACGGCTCTTTGGCTTGGAAACGGAGATGAGCACCGCAACCCTAGAGTCGGATTCGACTAGCTTTCAAGCAAGGGAAACCTTTACCTTTACCTTACTACCATAAAAATAGCAAAGGCGCTTCCAAAATGGGAGACTGCTAAATTAGCAGCCCAGAGGAGAAATTCCATTTCAGACGATTCCGGATCGATCCGATGCCCGACAATAGGCGCCTTTCCTTCTGTTATTTTTTTAAAATGATTATTACTTTAAATTGCAAATTGAAATCACTTTATAAATGGGATTTCATGGAAACACTGCGGTGTTAAAAAGCCGCTTCTCCCAACGCCACCTAAGACCCCAGTTGGTTGTTCATTCAGCTCCCGAGAAGAAGAAAAAGTTCCACCACCCCCCTCTCTTTTTTAATTCAAGGTTTCATTGTGAGAGTTTTCACTCCATTTCAGCTCAGACCCGAGGCAGAATAGATAGGCAAGAAGCATTTTATTTCCACTGGCCTCTTTCTCGAGTAGTAGTGCAGCCATCCAGAAACTTTCACTAAACAGGGGGGGAAAATATGAGCTGCTCTCTCCTGATACATACAGAAGACCCTTGTCGGAGACCGGTGGTGCAGTAGAGGTTATCCTCACCCAACCGGCTTCAGCTGCCGTCTCCCCAGGGCTGCCGCTAGCTCCTTGAAGATTCCATTTCCTCAGGGATAGGTTTGCTCCAGAGGAAAAACCTTTTTTTTGGTTTTTAATATTCTGTTTATTAAGTGTTATACTATACAGCCACAAGCATTCTAAACCTTTACAATCACATTTTGGAGGTCTTAAGCAGAGGCTGATTCTGTGAACTTAGGCAGATCATGAGAGGGAGGGCAGGAAGGGTCGCCTCAGAAATGCTGATCACCACTTTGGGGTCAGGAAGCAATTTTCTCCAGGCCAGTTTGGCCAGGGATCCTGTAGGGTTTTTTGGTCATCTTCTGGGCATGGAACAGCAGGCACTGGGGGGTTGGGGGGAGGTATTTGTGAATTTCCTGCCTTGTGCAAAGGGTTGGACTAGATGACTCTGGAGGTACCTTCCAACTCCAAGATTCTATAATTTACTAGATTTGAGTCCAGAAGCACCTAAGAGACCAACAAGATCTTCAGAGTATAAGCCTTCCAGAGGCAAGCTTCTAGACACATCTCAGTCTACCACATCATGGAACGCTTGCACAACCCATTAGTCTGTTTGTCTTAACAAGTCAGCAAAGTGAAGAAGAGGATCTGGAGCACACCGAGACGAGATGCATGATGCTCACACAGCTGCCGGCAACTTCCAACTTTAAGCAAAGACCCCCAACTCAGAAATCTCATTCTTCATGCAGATTCTTCAGCATTCTACGGGGATGACCAATGGCCCCGGAGAAGACTTGCAACAAGCCACTAGCTAAAGGTGTGATGTGGTGTGTTGCTGTCTTCTCTCCAACCTGGGAAGGTGTGGTCCTTTCCTGTATTAACAACAAGCTCCTTCAACCAGAGGTCTTGATCTTCAGATGACATGGCTGGCCCTTTGGGTGTCCCCTACCTCCCTCACCTCTCTATGTGCATCCCTCTCAAAGCTGCACACATGGTGGAAAAGGACAACCATCCAGATAGGAGGACTGTAATGTTCTTCATGAGGCATAAGAACAGAAGAGACGCCAATGCTGTATCAGGCCACTGGCCCATCCAGTCCAACACTCTGTCACACAGTAGCCAAGTGCCGTCAGGAGGTCCAACAGTGAGCCTAGGAAATTAGAAGCTATCCCACAGTTGCCACCCCAAGCACCAAGACAGTTCATCACTTGTCCTAGACTGAGAGTTCCTATCTATGTTGTTCAGTCGCACAGTCAAGTCCGACTCTTCGCGACCCCATGGACCATCTCCCGCCAGGCCCTCCTGTCTTCCGCCATCCTCTGAAGTTGGCTCAATTTCATGTTCGTTGCATCTATGACACTGTCTAACCATCTCATCCTTTGCCGTCCCCGTCTTCTTTGACCTTCAATCTTTCCCAGCATCAGGGTCTTCTCCAGTGAGGGCTCCCTTCTCATTTGGTGGCCAAAGTATTTGAGCTTCAGTTTCATTATCTGTCCTTCCAGGGAACAGTCAGGGTTGATTTCTTTTAGGATTGACTGATTTGTGCTTCTTGCAGTCCAAGGGACTCTCAAGAGTCTTCTCCAGCACCATAGTTCAAAAGAATCTATTCTTCGGTGCTCGGCCTTCCTTATAGTCCAACTCTCACAGCCATACATGACTACTGGGAATACCATTGCTTTGACCATGCGGACTTTTGTTGGCAGGGTGATGTCTCTACTTTTTATCATGCTGTTTAGGTTCCTATCTATACCTTGCGTCTTTTTATCATGCTGTTTAGGTTCCTATCTATACCTTGTGGCTAATAGCAGCTGATGGATCTCTGCTCCATATGTTTATCCAATTCCCTCTTGAAGCTTTCCATGCTTGTAGTTGCTACCACCTCCTGTGGCAGTGAATTCCATGAAGGCATGAAGTTGAGAAAACGCTGGGGGATGGCGGAGGACAGGAGGGCCTCACGTGATGTGGTCCATGGGGTCGTGAAGAGTCGGACTCGACTGTGCGACTGAACGACAACAAATGTTCTTTAGTGAAGGGAAGGTGTGGTGAAAGACCCTCTTTGAACAGGATGACTAGATGGAACTCCATCTTTCAGCCCGAGTTGTTTTTGATTTTTTGTGGAGCAGATCCATCATGTCACCCATCTGAAAACTGATGTGGACATTGGTTTTGTTCCTGGGGAACTGCATCAAGCTTAGGCCCCTGCAACTCAGGTAGTATCAGAAGGTTGAAGGAGAGTTGTTAAAACAATAGAAGAGCAAGATTCAAGTCCAGTAGAGACCAATGCTACTTCTAAGCTGTGGAGTCTTGTGAACAAAAATTCCATTTTGTGAGCTACTGGCATTAAAGAGCCAGTTTGGTGTAGTGGTTAGGAGCGCGGACTCTAATCTGGGAGAACCGGGTTTGATTCCCCACTCCTCCACTTGAACTTGCTGATGTGACCTTGGGTCAGTCACAAGCTCTGGCACAGCTGTCCTTGAAAAAGAGCAGTTTGTGTCAGAGCTCTCTCAGCCCCACCCACCTCACAGGGTGTCTGTTGTAGGGAGGGTAAGGGAAAGGAGTTTATAAGCCGCTCTGAGAAGGGCGGGGTATAAATCCAATCTCTTCTTCTTCTTCTTCTTCTTCTAAAGTTGTGAGGAAGCAATTTGACTACTGCATAAATTAGTTTGATCTGGAGCCATCTTTCCCAAGCTAAGACAAAAATGTGTGAGCCGGAGGCTAAAAAACAGTGAGCTGGCTCCTACTAACTCAGCCTAGAGGGAACACTAGTAGAAACCGACACAATTTTGGGGGTATACACTTTCGAGAGTCAAAGTTTCCTTTATCAGATACTAGCTTTGAGTCCAAGTAGCACCTTAGAGACCACCCCAAACTCAGGGTATAAGTAATGGGAACAGTTAACAGGTTCATTGACTGGGGAGTAGGTCACAGTCTTGCAGTCTGTGCGCTTTGGCTGATCGAAGCAGAAGTGTATTGAGGGATTTTATTTGTGATAGTGAAAAGTAAGGGGAAATGGCCTGTACTAAGCAGACTGCCTGTAAATCCACTGGTGACAGAGCTCCATGTAAACAGCTGGCCACCAAAGCAGCAAGGAAAAGTGCTCCCTGCACTGGCGGTGATTTGAAACCTCATTGCCACGGGCCTGGTACTGTGGCACTGCGTGAGAGTCATCGTTAGTGTCACGGGCATGGATGAGGATGAGCTGACAGAGCCTGCAGGAAACACAGCTGGCCCCTCTGAAGCAGCAGAGGAGGATAGCTGGCAAGTGCCTGTAACAGCATTCTTCACACCTGGCCCAGATAAGAAGGAAGAACTGCAAGCTGGAAGTCCTCCTGACTCACCCCCACGTGTGACTCATTTAAGGGAGTGACTGTGACAAAACTTAGCAAGCAGGCAAAGAGAGGCCAGGCTATAAGGGAGATTCTCAGCCAGCCCAGAGTTCTAGCAGGAGCCTGGCTGATCGTGCAGCTGGCTAATTGGTAGCAGCATTTAACTCCACACGCCGGGCAGTGCTCCACTGTGGCTCGGCTCTTGCACCGAGACCTTCGGATCCTCTGGCTTTGGACTCGGCTCTGTTTTCCTGGCTCCTGACCCCGGCTTAGCTTTTTGGACTTTGCACTTTCTTCTTGGCTCCTGACCTTGGCTTGTTCTGGATTCCCTTTGACTGGCACCCCAGCCCGTGACAGCTACCCCAAACCCACAGAACTTCTGATCCACATGCTTCTATTCCAGAGGCCTGTGAGGGAAATTGCGTGAGACTTCAAGACAGACTCGAGGTTCCAGAGTGCAGCTATCGGTGCACTGCGGGAGGCTAGTGGGGCATACTCGATATGTCTCTTTGAAAGCACAAACCTGTGTGCCATGCCATCCATGCCAAGAGAGTCACCATCATGCCCAAAGGCATCCAGCTGGCTCCTAGGGGAGAGAGCTTAAGAGGAGGCAGTTTTCATGGTGGTTTGTAGTGAATTCTGTATTATTATTAAAAACACACACAGAGAGAGTATATGCTTTTGAGAGTCAACGCGCCTTTCGTCACTTGTCAGACACAAACTTTCTACTCATGTCTGACAAAGGGAGTGTTGACTCTCCAAAGTTCATACCCTGACATTCTTGTTGGTTCATAAGGTTCCACTGGACTCAAATGTTTTACTGTAGAAGAAGAGGAGGAGGAGGAGATTGGATTTTTACCCCACCCTTCACTTGGAGTCTCAGAGCAGCTTACACACTCCTTTCCCTTCCCCTCCCCACAACAGACACCCTGTGAGGTATGTGAGACTGAGAAAGCCCTGACAGAAACTGCTCTTTTTCAAGATCAGCTGTGCCAGAACTATGGCTTGCCCAAGGTCATCCAGCAGCTGCAAGTGGAGGAGTGGGGAATCAAACCCGGTTCTCCCAGATTAGAGTCCATGCACTTAACCACTACGCTGAGGAGGAGGAGGATTTAGCCTGGGCATTGATTTTATGTTGAGGGAACTTTATTATATATATATATAGGTCCCTGCCACACGGGACAGCTGAAACGCGGCTAATCAGAGCCGCACCAAACTTGAGACCCCGCGGCGGGATCCCACGGATCCCCTCAGCCGCAGCGTATCGCTCCCCGGCATGATCAGCTGCCGGGGAGGAAGAGATGAGTGGGAGGGGGAGGCTGCCGAACTGCGCATGCTCGAGCTGGAGATCCCATGGCCGCATTTGCCGCGGCCTATTCAATTGAACCACCCAGGTAGGTGGTTCTTCTTTGATGTGCGTTTTGGGCGGTTGGGACGGATCGGGGACAGCCACGACACAATTGCCAGATGTTGCTGTGTGACCGCGCCCGTTTGATGCGGCCCCGATCCGTCTTTCTCCCGGCCCAAAACGCCTCATGTGAACAGGGCCATAGATGGGTCCTTATATGAAGAAGAAGAGATTGGATTTACATCCCGCCCTTCACTACCCAAAGGAGTCTCAGAGCAGCTTACAAACTCCTTTCCCTTCCCCTCCCCGCAACAGGCACCTTGTGAGGTAGGCGGGTCTGAGAGAGCTCTGAGACAACTGCTCTTGCGAGAACAGGTCTGAGAGAACTTGTGACTGACCCGAGGTCACCCAGCAGCTGTAAGTGGAGGAGTGGGGAATCAAACCCGGTTATCCCAGATTAGAGTCCGCACACTTAACCACTACACCAAACTGGCTCTCAGACCTTTGAAACGATCTTGAAAGCTTATACCTTGGAAGTCTTGACTCTTGAAGGCTCATGCTCTGTAAATCATCCTGATATCTAAGGTGCTACTGCACTTGAATCTAGCTGGTTTGCCTGGTGAGAATTTGCCTGGAGATATGGTTTGTTTGTTTGTTGCCTTAGAATGAACTGGAGAGTGGATTGTGTCTCTTCCTTATTGACAGGCATCATCCAAACAGTAGCCACCGGAAAGTGGCGAAGCCCTTCACTATTAAGTGAAGCCTCACGTCCATCGCACCTGTTGTTGACTCTTTTTTGCATAAATGTCTGCTATTTGCAGGTAGTTGATTGAATTTCCAGCAGATGCTTAGCGGGGCATTTCGGTTGTCAGTCCGCAGCAGGTAATGAGAATTTATCAGCACCTCGTTCACATTTGCCGCTGATCTCTCACCCGTGCATTTCAATAAATATTGCTTTTATTTATCACGATGCATTTGGAATTAGTAGCTTATTTTCTTTCATTGTATTCCGGTCTCTCTCCATCTTTCTCCCTCCCTCTCTCTCTTTTTAAAATACAGGTTGGCTAAACAAGCCGGGGAGTGTTTATCGTACCACATTCGCAGACGCCGGGCCCCAAATTGAGATGTCTGCAAACCTGACACCCCACCCCACCCCACATCCCCCCACCCCTTTGACGTCAATAGCAATAATTGTATTAATGCAAGACGAGACGGTTGCTTTGGAAAGTCCGTGGGGGGGAAATTGCGACATGGGGAGACGAGAGCCATTGTTTCATAAAAAAATAAAGAAAGAAACCCGTAATTTTTTATCGAATGCAGAAGGGCGAGGGGAAAAAAAATGATATTGTTTAGAAACTACTAGAAATAATAGCTGTCATCTCGAAAAGCGTGTCAACCTTCATCTCGATGGCGGCAAGCTGAAGGGAAGAGAAAAGAGGAATATGTAAGTGCTCCGACAATTAGGGTGCTTGGAGTTTCAGTGTTTCCCCATATCTCGTGAAGGATCTTAAATACTTTGTTGGGCGCCCCCCCCCCCCCCCCCGTGGCACTTCTTGTGTGAAGTGTATAATTTAAGTTGTTGCAGTGAAGTGAAACGGGGGAATTGGTTAAGGGCACCAAAAGCCACAGAAGTCTGCTAACAAATTTGACAGGGCTTTTAGCTGTTCCCCAAACGAAGAAGAAAAAAAGAGCCCTGCTGGATCAGACCAGTGGTCCATCTAGTCCAGCATCCTGTCTCCCACAGCGGCCAGCCAGTTCCTCTGGAGGGCCAACAACAGGGCAGAGAGGCCGAGGCCTTCATAAGAACATAAGAGCCCTGCTGGATCAGACCAGTGGTCCATCTAGTCCAGCATCCTGTCTCCCACAGCGGCCAGCCAGTTACTCCAGAGGTCCAACAACAGGGCGCGGAGGCCGAGGCCTTCCCCCGATGTTGCCTCCTGGGTCTGGGATTCAGAGGCTGACTGCCTCTGAATGTGGAGGTTCCTTGAAGTCCCTGTGGCTAGTGGCCATTGATAGAATTATCCTCCATAAATCTATCTAAGCCCCTTTGAAAGCTGTTTATTCCTGTGGCCATCACGACATAAGAACATAAGAGACGCCAATGTTGGATCAGGCCAAAGGCCCATCCAGTCCAACACTCTGTATCACACAGTGGCCAGAAATACCACTGCCATCAGGAGGTCCACCAGTGGGGCCAGGACATTAGAAGCCCTCCCACTGTTGACCCCTCATTCATTTTTGCTTTCATATTTGTTGTCATTCCATTGAGAACAGTTCTAGAAAGAGTCCAGTGAGCAAAGAAGTTGGATCACGCCACATTTTCCAAGACCTAAATATCTGTGACCTTGCAAAAAGATGGTTAGTTTGTAGTTCATTGGACACCTGATCACTTCAGAACAAAAACTTCCAAATGATCTGAACAGAATGTGATTGAATATATGGGAAATGTATTTATCACGACCCAACAATTCCTTCTTGGTACGAGAGTTCTGTAGGAGAGATGGAACTCCTCTGCCAGGGAGGGCTTTTCCACTGACTTCAGTAAGAACTTTGCATGTACCTAGGTCTGTTTGTAAAGGGGCTGAATATGTGCTGCCAGTGTGCTTGTGGGTTTGTTCATGAGGGACTAAAGTGGACTGATTAGTGGATGTCAACATGAGGAT